CTCCCCGGCCAGGGCGAGCGTGGCCTCCCTGCGCCCCTGTGCCCGGTCAGATTGGAGCCAGCGCGCCCTTCCCCACCGCATGCCCCCTTCCCCGCTGCTGGGCGGGCGGGGGTGGGGGGGAGGTGCCCCTGGCGGGGTGGCCCCCAGCGCTGCCTGTGGGGAGCCTGGAGGCCCGGCCCAGGAGGTGGCGCCCTCGGGGCTGTCGGGGGTCCAACGCTGAGGGGGCGGTCGTTCCCGGCGCGGCCGCCAGGGGGGGCCCTGCTGCCACGGCCAGGCGCGGCCCGCCTTCCCCCAGGTGGCTGCGCCCTCTCCCGCCCTGGCAGGGACCGCGGCCGGCGGGCACAGCCCTGCCAGGGAGAGGCGGGGCACGGCAGGTCTCGGTGGAATGGGGCCAGGAGCAGCCCAGGCTCAGGGCGGCCCCAGAGGGCCCCAAAGCCAGGCGGGCCGGAGCCTGATGCGCCGGCAGGTGGCCGCGGGCACCCACTTGGGAGAGAGGGAAAGAGCCGGTCCAGGGAGGCTCAGGGTCACGCGCAGGACAGCGGGGCCGCGGGTCGTCAGCCGCCCACCGCCCCCGCGGCCGGGTCTCTCCCGCCTCCCAGACGTGTGCGGGGTGGGGGGGACGGGGGCGACTGCCCACTGACACCTGGACGGAGCCTGAGGCTCTGTGAACCTCAGTCCAGTTGCCCCAACTCTCCTTCCCTTTGGAATGGGGGCCGGCAGGGCCGGGGCCTGCGTGAGGGACACCCTGGTGGCCCCAGGCGGCCTGGGAGCCCGAGCTCACGATGGGGCTCAGGTGGGAGGGGCCGGGGGGCCCAGCGCCCGGCGCCTGCCCCCTCGCCTGGGGGTAACCTCGGCCCGGGGGTCTCCTTCTACCCTGCCTCAGGCTGCTACATTGTCCGCTGCGTTGTGTGTTCTGGGTCTCACCTGGGGTATCTCACCTCAGGGTCTCACCTCAGAGTCTCACGTGGGCCCAGGGATCTCACCTGGGGGGTCTCACCTCAGCATCTCACTTGGGGGTCTCACCTCAGGATCTCACCTTGGGGCCTCACCTGGGGATCTCACCTGAGGATCTCACCTCGGGGTCTCACCTCAGAGTCTC